ACAGAGTACTGAATAATCCATCATTTTAGAAATCCTGTTGCCATTACCTATCCTTTCCTTAAGTATCAGAGATCCACAGAATATAGTACAGTAAGTAGCAAAACTTGCCATAGCATCATGTAATTGTTCCCTGTGCTGCCTACTTTTATGGAGATGCTTTATTGAAATACATAAATTTAATGTACTGTTTTTCATCCAAAAACATAAAAGCTCAAGGTCTGAAAGAATGTTTGCGAAGTAAATGTTTATTCCTCTGATGAGAGATTATAGTACTAATTTTTAAAATAAATGAAGGATAAATTTCCTAATGAAAAGATTTACTATTATACTGCAATCATAATTAACATTAACTTGCTTATCTTTCATAAGTATAGTATTATATAGAAATTGCAATTAGCCTAAACCTAAAATTATTATTTCATGTTCATTCCATGTCATCATGGAATCTCCTTAGATTTTAGATGTGTTAGAGGAATTGTTGCTTGGCAAACAAGTTCATGATGAGCAAAGAAATTATTTAGTTATCTGTATTGTTGTATATAAGTTAGTGAGCAGTTAAGTACTGCTTTGGAAACAGAAATACTATGTTAGAAAAATAACAGGTCTATAAGAATTTTTATCTGTTTATTCTTTAATTTTGCACATATAAAACCTCTTCCATGCATGCACAGTCTTGAAGAGATTAAGATAATAATCTGTGTTAAAAGAAATGTGAAATGTAGATTTCACATTTAAGTGTTAGAAAAGTATACACACCTTCTCTGATCCATTTTTTGGGAAAATTGCTGGAGACAAAAAAATCAGGATTTACCGGTAGTTCATTGCTATGTTTAATCAGAAATTGTGCTCTGCTCAATGGGTCCTACTTCTTAGTAAATCTAACGTGTGTTAGCCCGAATAATCTAATAATGCAGTTTGTTTTATTCTTTTTATATATAAAATAATTCCTTGTTTCCCGTTCATATGCAGGATTCTTTGATGAAGCCGTGAAGGATTTTAGGAAGGTGTTAGAGCTAAATCCTAAATTTGAAGATGCTTCTTTGAGTTTGAGACAGACTCTCCTTGAGAAAGAAAACAAGTTAAGAAGAGGTTATTGAAGTCCAGTGTGTAGAAGAAACAGGTTGTGAGACTGGAATATTTGGTAAAGATGTAAATTTCCTGGGGGGGTGGGGTTAAGGGTGTTACTTCTCAGTTGTGAATAGATCAATTTCCATGCAAAGTAATCCTTAAGATATCAAACATTTGGCATGAATTTGTAGCTCTTCAATTACATGAAGATTTATTTTATTCTGTAAAATAGTTTGGCCCTATGTGTACTGGCAAGGTATATAAAACAGATTTCCTTGATAACCAGCTACTTCCTCATTAAAATTATATTATACTACATTAATAAGAAATATCAAAGGTATGAATTAGTGCAGAACTTCTACATGTTGCTATTGGTGATTCCCCATAATGCCTAGTAATATTGATTGGTTTAAAATATATATATTATTTTAATAAGCAATCAGTTTTGTTACACAATATATTAAGCTTTGGTTATTTTTGCTTTCACAGCATTACGGATTTGTGTTTTCATTGTATTCTCATTACTGAAATTAGGCTAAGAGGTGGTGGATTATGTAATATGTACACACTCAACTCTAAATATGAGATCTTATATCTAGTGAAATGAAATATATTTATTTGTGTAATCCCAATACGTGAATGAAAAATTAAACTTTTTTTGAATGAAATGTATTCTTGAAAAAAATTGTAGTAGCAGATTTTAAATTTCAAATATGACCAACTTAAAAATTTGTATCTTCCATTTTTAATTCATGAAGCTTTTATTATTAGGAAGTTAGTATGAAACATATTTTAATAATCCCAAGTAAAGCTTGCCATGATAACTGCATGATTATACCTAGGGAAAGAAAAAACAATATATATACAGTAGTTAGTTCATTTTAGATGCCAGTGCTTGTAAGGTTAATAAATGGATGCCCTACATGTTTGTCCTTGTGCAAGTTTTATTCTCCCAAACTCAGTGATTAATGTATGGCTATACAGATTGCTTAATCAACAGTTTGCAACTCTTAGCTCAAACTTCTGTTTCAAGATAAGTACTGACCTTCAAATGCTGCTTGCAAGCTAGTGGCTTATAGTGGCTTACAAACTTTGCCAGAGCTAGCAATCATTTTAAAGGAAGCTCTAAGCAAGATATCTTCTACCTCCCCATTTTCTGAGGGAACTTCCTTGGGTAGTAGTAAGAACAGGACTAAGAAGTACAAGCATAATTGAAAGGCAATCTGGGGATATAAGGAGCGTACTATCACATCAAGTGAGAGTTGCAAATCATTCAGGAGTGGCCTTTGACTAGGTTTACCCCTGATACTTCATTCTCTGGTACTCCAAATTAAAGCATGGGATACCAATGGTATTACAATTTCAGAACATTTTCCTGTGAAGTTTAGTCCTTTGTTTGATAAGCATTTAAATAGATTCTTTAAGTTGTTCTTGAATGAATCCTTTGGCTGGATAATAGTTCACTGAACAGAAGAGGAAATAGCAGCTTATATTAAAAGGGATTTGCTTATGTCACTGTGTTTATGTGGGACACGATTAAAGCATTTCCTAATCTAAAATCATATTGCATTGCTTCATATAAAAAACAATAATCGACAAGTTATATTTGTAGAGGAGAAAACTGAATATTTTTATGCACTCTACTCATTTCGTCACTGACATCATTCTGTGGATTCTATCAAATATGTACTTAATACTTGAAGTTTCCAACACTGATTTTTTAAAACAATTATATAGCAAACAATTATATATTGTACATAATACAGTGTGAAATATATTTTAACACTCCCATTACACATATACCTATTACACATTACTGTAAGGAAATGATACTGGGAAATACAAAAATTATATAATAGCAGTTTTTCACAAACAAAAGATGGGTTTAAGATAAAGGGAGTTATGCTAAATTTATAGTATAAATTTAGGTTACTAATTTTATGTAATTTTTATTGCTTGATGAAATTGTTGCCTTATAAAAAGAAAGGAAGACACCTGACCCTGATGATTTTAGTGGATTGGTGTAAAAAACACTCTGTTTTTTTAATCTCTTGCTTTACTAGAAGTATGTGGTAAAACTGAATCAGATAAATCCTTTCCTTTTGGTTTTAGTTTAATTTAGTCTAGTTTTAACAGGGCAATATTGCACTTATTCCTAAGGATTTCTTATTATTTTACCTATTTCCTTGATAAATATGGAAACTATGCTTTTAAAAGTTACTCTGGCCATAGATTTCAGGATGTTCTTTCATGTAAGAATCCTGATTTTCTAACAATATCTGATTTTTAACTGATATTATTGTAAACTCAGAATCAATTTTCATTTCTTGGGACACAGGGAAAAACAGCAATATGATTTCTTGAAAGTTTTTGAGGTCGGATTGTGATGTATTTTGGATTCCCTTCAAACTGTTTATTTTATACTGTTGTATTCAGTACCTAAATCGTGGTTTATTACTGATGCCTCTCAGGAATAACATTGGCCCACAGTTATATGTAGAATTCATAATACTTCAATGCATATATGATCACTGCGATATTATTCTACACAATTACATCAATGAGCATAATCTAGTCCAGCAGTCTTAATTCCACTAGTATTCACCTCAGTTTTTATAATTATTTTCAGCCCCGAAGCCTACCTTATTTCTTGTGATGTCCAGCTCTTTAAATTACTCAGGCTGAAGGATAAAGACTGGTCCAGTTACTATATAACCGTGATGGTTAGGGTAAATTTCAGAATACTGATCTAAAGCATTGTAAGAAACATTAGTTAAATATCCATTGAATAAACAGGTACCAAATAGGAACTTACAATATACAATGAACTCACAATATATTAGTAACCACTCTATTAATGGGTGGCATCATTCCAACGTTCATTGGAAAACTTACCAATTATTGTTCCAGGAGGGCATGGTTTACAGGGAAGTCCACTACTAGGCACACGGAGGCAAGTGCCAATTGTTGCTGTGCAGTGCAAATATACCTAAATAGGGATTGAAGAGATATATAAGGAATAGAACCTTTGTTAGGAGTCCTATAATATTATGTGAATAAATCCCAAAATTGCTCTTACATTCTGTGTAACTGTCACATTAAGAAATACCTTCAAAAAGAAAAGAATAGCTTAGATTTTAACCTCATTTTCCTCTAAATATTTAGAGTAGCAATGGATGAAATGTCAGCATTTTACCACTGAAAAGCAAAAGAGGTGGTAACTTCCTTTAGCACATAGATGATCAGAAAAAGATATTATACTTAGATATTGGCATATGGTGTTAAACTAGGATTTTGTACTTGGCTTCAATTGTATGAATCTAGTGATCTTTTTTAAAAAAAATAGATCTAACTTCATCATTTTCACTATTTTAATTGAACATTAGTAATTTATTTGCACCATACACAATCATGTCCACTTGTTTTTATTAACATTTAAGGTTGCTTGGTGTCTATAAAAAGAAGCAGTTTGATTTCTTCCATGGATATTTTAACTCAATGACCACTGCAAACTGATTTGTGTGATTTGGTCCATGTTTTATACAGTTAGATCAGTACCTCTGTCAGCGGAAGTGTCAGATTCTGTATCTTCATTCTTTTGACGTGATTAGGATATTTTATTGGATCGCTTGTGGTTACTGGAGAGAAGATCACAGATCCATAGCTTTGGTTTTCACATCTATTTGGTAGGATGAGAAAATCCCCATTGTTAAACTATACTGTGTTTCCTCAAAAATAAGATAGGGTCTTATTTTCTTTTGACCCCCCAAATAAGTGTTTGGCCTTATTTTCGGGGAGATCTTACTATTTTTGAGGTGCAGGAGGCAGTGAGCGTGGTCACCTCATGGCTGCGGCTGTGTTGCAATATTTTCAGGGAGGGCTTATTTTCGGGGAAAGGGCTTATTTTAGCGCATGCGCTCAAAAGCCTAATTGGGCTTATTATCTGGGGAGGTCTTATTTTCAGGGAAACAGGGTAGATTTAATCTAAATAATTACAAATAATTCTGGAGTGTTACTTGCCCATCTACAATAAAGTTCCAGTGAGGAATGCTGTTGATTTCTTCAGATTGTGCTATCCAGCAGTTTTCCAAAAATAGTTCAATATTAGGGGCTTCATCTTTTAATTCTACTTCAAAAAATATAGGTTCCCATGAACTCTTGAAAATTAATGAATGAGACTTATAGGCTTCTGTGAATGATTCATCTGGGATAAGGGGGAAAAAAAGGAGGGCAGTGATTGATTTTTGAAACAATACATAATTTTAGACCTATGATTTTCACGTTTAGAAGAATCTTACCTTTGAATATATTTGCCTGGATATTTAGAACTTGTCTTGTCCTTATAAGGCCTGTGGGACAAATTATAATGGCTGTCATGACTGCAGACAGATATTAATAAAGTTCTACATTTAAGAAAATTACCGTGCCTACCTTCGTTATTAGGCCAAGACATCATTGTACCAGAACCAAAAGGTAACGTTTTGGATGAGGAACCATAGAACATAGCACTTTGCATCAGGGACTCTTTGATTGGATAGTAGCACAAGACAGTCAGTCTGCAATAAAATATATATATTTTGAATTCCTGAACTTAAAATGAAATCAGCTGTGACTGAGTTAATTTTTACCTGTATCCTGGATCTCTTGTGATAATTGGTCGATTCTGTATTGGAAGAGTTTCTTTTTCAAAGGATATTTCATTTTCATAAATAAGGTGCTCATCATTAAACTGCATCAGAGATAAAATATTATCAAAACTAGTATACTTGATGAAAAGATCACCTCTGGTTTTTTTTTTTCTCCCTGGGCAGCCTTTTCTCAGTTCCTTACCATTAAGGAAGTGCCACAAGTAGAAACTTGAAATTGAAATAAAGCTTGGTTCTTTGTATATTCTCGAGGCTTACAAATCTTATCCTTCAGTCTTGTTTTGCCCATGTCAATGGATGGAACAGTCTTCATGTGAGCCAATACAGTAACAGTTCCATTAGGATAGCACACTGAAAAAATAGAAGACAGTGAATTAGTCAGAAAAGATCTCCCTCAAAGAGACTATTCTCGGAAAAACAGAAAAGAAAATATTAAATATATAAGTATACAGCCAAAAGCGAGATATAAAGGGGAGGAAAATATAGCTAGGATAGATTAGCGAAGGTAAGGGAATAAGAAATGATATCAAATTATATTTGAGTCTGCGGAAATACCATTCCAAGGAAATATATACTGAGGCTGGAAAGAGACACCTACAATAATAGAGAAGAAAGAGAGAAAGGAAGAAAACATGATGGGGGAAAGAAGAAAGAGGCAAGGAGAGGAGGATGGAAGGGAGAGGAAGAGAAGGAGAGAGAGAGTAGGAAGAGGAAGAACGGGAAAAAGGCAAGGGAAGAAGGAAGGGGAAAGAGGAAGAAGGAAGAAAGTAGAGAAGGGAGGGAGGGAGAAAAGAAAGGGAAAAAGAGGTGGTGTTACAACAGGAAGAAGGGATGATAAATAAAGCAACCCAAATTGTATATTATAACCTGTTAAATGAAATAATAAATGTATAAGAATGATAAATATATAGAAGAATAACAACTATGTGACTGTATATTTAAAATGCTATGTAAGAGAATAAAAAATTAAAAAAAATTCTCTCTCAGATCATTCTAAGAATAGACCTTACCTATGAATTCTGAGGACTGAAAATTACACCTAATAGAAAAGGTATTCAGCGTCTCTAGAGTGGTTATTTTTTTCAAGTCCAGATCAAATCTAGCTTGGATTCTCTCAAAGGACACTTCCTTTAAAAAAAAATAAATAGAAGCATATTTTAAGAACATTGTTTGTTTTGAAATGGTTTAATTGAAATTGCTTTGTTTTGAAACTTACTAAACAACAACATATTTTAGAAAGATGTGAGCAGAATTTTCTTGGCTGAGGGCTGCATTTCATTTCATTTATTTATTTCACATTAGGGGAAAACAAAGTGCTTGTCCAGCAATGCAATGATGTTATCGGGAATGGGCCAGTGTACAAATTTGAAAAATAAAAAGAATGTAACTGGCTAGATGGACAGACTCTTTTTGGCCAGAGGATTTAAAGACAGAAATAAATAAATAGCAATAGCCCTTAGACTTGTATACCACTTCACAGTGCTTACAGCCCTCTCTGAGCGGTTTACAGAGTCAGCCTATTGCCCCCAACAATCTGGCTCCTCATTTTATTGACCCCGGAAGGGTGGAAGGTTGAGTCAACCTTGATCCTGGGTGAGATTATACCGGCCAAATTGCAGGCAGCCAGCAGTCAGCAGAAGTAGCTTGCACTACTGTATTCTAACCACTGCGCCACCACGGCTCAAATGTAACTTTGTAATGGCTTAACTCATCTATTTCCATTCTTGTTTTTGCTAGAGTGGTCTGGCCTAAAGCTCTTCCTTTCCTGAATTCAGGCACAGCTATTTCTATGGAAAGTGAATGGTCCTTTTCTGTATTCTTTTTAGCTTCTGGCATCAATTTGTATTAAGGTTTTAAAGAATTCATTCAAATTGGCCGCTAACATATTTTTCGGAGTATAAGACGCAGCAAGGTTTTGAAGAGGCAAATTTAAAAAAAAGTTTTTGCACTCTGNTTTGTACCTCCTTTCCCTTGACTGAGTTGTGAGCCACCCTGAGTCCCCTTCGGGGAAAAGGGCGGCATATAAATGAAATAAATCCTAATCCTAATCCTTACCTCCATGTAATTCTCTTCACACAGAATTTCCCTTGGAGCCCATGTGAAATAGCAGTGCATGGGATGCTGGTAAACGGCAGCCGCCCGCAGGTCTTCATATAACGATACTTTGATGTTTACAGTAAGAGAGAACTGTTCATCTTTCTGCAATCATTGAAAAAAAAACATCTGTAACGTCACTGGCAGGAGTACCATATTTAACAATGGGGGATGCTTCCTGCCACAAAGTTCTTGAGAAAGCCAGCATTTAGATCAGGGGTATCCAACACTGGCAACTTTATGACTCTGGGCTTCAACTCTCAGAATTCCCCAGCCAGCCAGCCATCCTGGCTGGGGAATTCTGGGAGTTGAAGTCTTCAGATCTTAATGTTGCCAAGGTTGGATACCCGAGTTAGTTAATTATAGGCTTATTAGCTTGTACCCATCTAAAAACCTTATCAATAAATGCATTGGGAAGCTGATGTCCTTCCTATTGCAGCCCCCCCTTTCAAATCTATGGGACTGCTCAAAAAATTATGGATCTGAGAAATATAAAAGGGAACTTCTATTGTAGGAATAGTAGTTTACTCATATCTAATTGGACTGAACCCATTGCATTTTAGATTGCTTTGGTTATTGTAGCCTGCCTCTTCATGCATGATGTGCAATCTTTACATAAATTTGCCACAATCAGCAGATACTGATCCTCCACTGTAGCACAATGCTTTGTGTTCTCTTGCAAAACGGGCCAAACGATTGCTTTTTTTCAAGCATGTTTTGAAGCCTATGTCTATTTCCAGCTTCCCACCCCGCTTCCGTTAGTGATTTAGGTGACTAAGCACAAACATTAAAAGAACTTAAAATATATTAACATCTTTTTCATAAAAAACAGAAACACCCAACAGATCCTATGCAGTCCTGGCACACTTGGTTTTTATTCCTGTGTCTGTAACACCTGTAGATCAGCAAACATGTCTCTAGAATGTACTGCGTTTAGGATTTTGTTGCTGTTTGTTCAGTTGTGTGTGATTCTGAGAAACTGCCTGAGCAAGTCTTTTCAGGTTTCTTGTCAAGTTTTTTTCAAAAGTGATTCACCCTTGTTGGTTCAAGGTCATCCAATTGGCTTTGTGGCTAAGGTGGGATTCAAATCCATGGTCTCCTGGATTCTAACCTGATGCCTTAACCACTACACTCAACTGATTCTTGTTTTTGAGATAGGAATTCACAAAAATGATAAAGCTGTCAACCACATCCATTAGTTTAATTTTCCTATCTATATGTCTGTGTTGGGTTCTGATACAACGAAAGTTGTCTCTCTGCAAGATACTTGCTGTTTGATGAGCCTCATATTCTTAAAATAGCAGGAGGTAAGGAAGCCAAGAATAAAAATCACAGATGCTATGTCTCATCATGAGTTGCAGATAACCAGTTTGGGTCTCAGTTCCATTTATAACTATATTAAATTAAATTCAGCCTCTGTGTTTCCTTTTCTATCTCCCATCAGTGCTAGAGATTTTGACATTGTCCATGTCAAGAGCAGATAACTTCAGTTTAAAGTAAAAGATTATTTTAACAATAATGTTGTGTAAAAACAATCAAAAGAATCGCTCTTCTCTGATTTGGTCACCCTATAAGGGAAGCAGTTTTCAAAAAGTAAATCTATCTTTTAAGACCACAGAATACTTGTTTTATGCATTTATCTGTCATGTAAGACCATTGCTTTATTTATGCTTACCAATGCTTAAGACAGCGTTAGCATTTATCTATTCTGGGGGTGACCGAATATTACCTGGGCTCACCTCATTTATAACGTGACAGCCAAGGAAAGAAGCCCTGAAGATGGGGTTTCCCCATACATCCTTCGACAGAGTATAGCCACAACGAGCTCCCAACATCTGGTCCACCAAAAATGGAACACCAGATGGGTCTGGAAACATACAAAAAATATTTTATAGTCAAGCTAAAATAGAAATCAATGAACAAGACAAGAAACAGCATTTTTTTTCTCAATGGATAGGAAAAAATGTAGTTCTCCAGGTGGTACAGAACAATACGTCTCAATATCTCCCACCTTTGATCATTATGATTCATTGGAAGATAAATATTTAGGAACACCTCAGATTCATAGACGACTTATATCTGCTTTATGGAACTTGATGAACTACCTATTCCTTAGTTTCATGACATTCTGTAAATACAGGCTTAAAATGCAAGGTTTCTCAACATTCTCTGGTTTTATTTTCATAGTTAAGTCCTTGTTTAATGACTGCCCATTCAAGCAAATGTTAAAATTATGACACTGCTGAACAAGATTTACAACCAGTCCTACAGCTATTGTGTGCATAAGATTATTTGTATTTAAAAGAGATTATACCCAGTCAGTACACTGCCATTGTGGATATGCAAATTTTATATATAACGAAGAAAATTGTATGATGAAAAATAATATATATAAAAAAGAGATTTACAACCAGTCCTTGTAGTTGCAGCCACTGCAACATGTGATCATGATTTGTGTGCTTGGGAACCAACTTGCAATTACAATGTTTGCTGCGTCCTGCTGTCATGTGATCACCATTTGCAACCTTCGTTGTGGGCTTCCAACAAGGAAAGTCAATGGGAAAGCTGGCAGGAGGTCACAAATGGCAAACATATATTGTATTAACCACATGGAATTTACTTCACAACCAGCAAACAACCATAATTGCTGGAACTGCCATTGTAGGCCAGCAATCATGTTTGGCAATGGTATTGCTCCTAATCATTGATGGTAAGTGGGGATTTACTTTAAAGAACCACAGTTCCTATTTTATTGCTGTTTGGTTACCATATAAGGCAAACAGTTAATCTATGTTTTAAGATCCCACATTATATTTCTACCAGTTTAGAGTCTGAACATGTTAATTCCAGAGCTCTGTAACCCCATGGCATAACTAATAATTCCTGCAGTGGCTTAGCAAATGGAGAATGATAGTAAACATGCAGTGATGTCAATGTACAAATCCCAGATTTGAACTAGTGTCCCAGCATGTGACCCAAGGACATAAGTCACAGTATTTACATTAAATCTTTTCCAGCCACTTCTCCCAAATTTATGACCTCAAGACACTCCTCAAATTAACATGACTGATCTATCTGAATTGGAATCCTAAGCACGTTTTCACCATAACCTTCATTGCAATAAAACTTTTAATTTGGAAACATTTAAAAGTTCTTGCTCAAGTTGCAAGTGCAAGCAATATTCTCTTTAAACATCTCAGATAGCTCACCAATTACTTCTATCTTGAAAAACTTCTTCTGAAGAAAGGACTTGTCTAGCTTCATCCAAAATATGCTGGAGAGGCAGGTACTTTCTATAAAAGCTAGAAAGGGGTTGAGGAAACTTAGTTATCAAAGTTCATAATCTGGTCACAACGTTAATTCCCCAGTTTCTAAAGTTCTAAAAAGTTGGCTAAATATAGATAATTGCGTAAGGCCACATCCTATGTCTCAAACTCTTGACAGAATTGAAATGTGGTTTCAATGAGGAACAGAGTAGTGTGCTCTTTGCCAATTCTAAGGGCTGCAGACTGTTCAGGGACATGAATGTTCTCTCCTCTAGCAAAACAGAATAGCTGGGGAAGGTCTCAAGAAAAATATAGGGGTGGGGGAATCAAGATTAGCCCTTGTGTCCCCTGAATATTGCCCAGTGCCTCATGCTGACTTAGTAGTAGCCCTGCTCCTGAATTAAATTAGGAAACTTCAGACACTACTTGGAGTTCACCAACCTGGAGAACCGACTGCTTCTTGTGTCCAACCTATTTCACACTGCAGTAAAAGAAGCATCAGCAAAATTCTGCAGGAGAGAGGAAAAAAGAATGTATGTTTGTGTGCACACACACACACAAACACACACACAGAGTTATAGCCCCATACGCATATTCAGACACAGATGCATAGGACTACAATCAAATAAAAAGGGAAAAAAGTGGGGAGGGGGGGATAAAACTTTTCTGCTAAATCCACTTTACCTGCAGAACACCTTCTCTACTGTCCCCATATTTTCGCAGGATCCTGGTCAAGCAAAGGACAGCACGAAATTCTTTTTAACAGCACAACTCCTTCCTAGCACAAAACAGACAATGGGAAAGAGATGAGCTGGGGGGAAATGAAGAAAGCGTCCCCTTTTATCCCAAAGAAGAAAAAAAAGCTTTGGCACATCTGTAAATTAGGGACAGGTGTTTCTTGCAGCCATTTGCTAATCATTGGAAAGAAAGGCTGCTTGTTTGAATAGCCTGTGGGTGTTTAAAGTCTTGGTATACTTCTTAGTGTGAAAGACCCATTGTTAATCTACTCCACCATTGCAGTTTGGATCACAGAATTATTATTTTTGTACCATGCTTCTCTTTTCCATCTTTCATAAAGATAATATTTCCCATTCCTTTAAATACCCCCCAAAAACAAAATTAAAGAGTTAACAACACGCAAAGTTCATTATCCTCTCAATCTCAAGATCTTAACAAGTTAAACGCTTTACTACTCCGAAGCTTCTCTTAAATGAACAGGAGCAGCTGAATAAGCTGTTGCAAGTGGTTTTTACTGAGCCTTAAAGAAAAGCTGTGGTCAGATTTAATGAAGAGACATTAGCAATTTGATACTATTGAAAGGAACAATGAGTTCTAAGGGTTTAGTACCTGATAATATATAAAGGATTAGGTTTTAATAAAGCTTATTTCAGCCTTTTCTGTGAACTTTTATTTTGAAGTAATATTAGTCAAAGGAAGCTTCTGGCTTGGATTGAAATTTTATTTTCAGTTTAATGACAGGCAAGTTTGAATAAGCCCCACTGTATGTCTGCAAACCTTAATATACATATTAGGAGGTGAATCTCCTATTAAATGCCCTGTATTCTGCATCATAGTATTAAAACTGGGATGTAAATACCTATGCCTTCTTTCTTCATCCAGATCTGCTTGGGGAATTTTATTTTCTCTTTAGCGAAGCTTTACTTGGGATAGTAACACGTGGCAGTTAGATAACAACATGTTGCATAGACCTTTGGCCTGATGGAGAAGATGCTATTTACAGGCGTCTGTTTGAGGAGTGAGAGGAAAGAAGCCATAGATAAATAAAGTACAGTAATACAATTCTGGGTGTTTTTTTTTTCTAAATGAATGTGCTCTTATTTGCTTGGATCTTTAATGTTTATAATCATTTCACTGAACAATGCTTTTTCCTCCTAAACATGTGCCTTATGTGATAATGAAAACATTTTTAAAAATGTTTTATTTTGTTACCATACAGTTTTTATTCATCCATTTTCAAACAAAACATTTTTTTTTTAAAATGGACAGTTGCTTCATTAAAAAACGAACTGGCATTTTCAGTGAACTGCCAGTGCTATGAATATAATCAATAATTCTTAAATATGGGAAAGGATTTCTTTAATCTGGAACAATATCAAACAAGTAGCAGGATGATAACATTTCATTGCCTAGAAGCGGCCAATAAAAATATCAGATTTATAAAAAACAATATTCATCATGCAAATAATATCCATTTAGATGTTTTCTTCAAACACGTGGACTAGCTAGAAGTTATTTTGCAGTTAAAATTAAATATCAAGTTTAGTTTTTTTTAAGGCAGCTTTTGCTATTTGGTTTTGATAGGATGTAGAATTACAATATAAATACTGTTTCTAAAAATAACTACAAGAAATCAGATTGGCTGTACAAATGACCTGGGGCTAATTCATTCTGTTATAGTTGATGAATAACTTTGGGTAGGTCATTTTAGGCAACATTTTTAAATTCTGAGGAAATAATCCTTCACGTGTATTTAAACAGGGACAAAAAGAGTGAGATTATGTTTTTGGCTGGCACACTTTATATCCCACTTGCTGTGTTTGCTCAACATAATAAACTGAGACCAACCAGTTTATTTAGCCTTCNGTGTTTCTCAACCTTGGCAACTTGAAGATGTCCGGACTTCAACTCCCAGAATTCCCCAGCCAGCAATCGCTGGCTGGGGAATTCTGGGAGTTGAAGTCCAGACATCTTCGAGTTACCAAGGTTGAGAAACACTGGGCTATAAGCTCTCTATACATTTTGTCAAGTCAAGATTAGACCTGCCTATATAACTAACAAGGGGCACAATGACTCAGTGGTTAAAGACGCTGAGTTTGTCAGCTGGAAAGTTGACAGCTGGAGTTCAAGAAGCCGAGCACCGCACGAAGGGGTGAGCTCCCATCCTTGCTCCAGCTCCTGTCCAACTAACAGTTTGAAAACTTGCAAATGGGAGTAAATAAATAGATACCAATTTGGTGGGAAGGTAACGGTGTTGTTCGACGCCCCTTGGTTATAGTCATGCTCGCCACACGACTACGGAAATGTGCTTGGCAACATGGCCTCCCTCAGCTAGGAAATGGAGAAGATCATCGTCTCCTCCATTTGGATTCGACTGGAAAGGGGAAACCTTTATTTAACCAACCCCTTTAATTATTTTAATGGCTTTGCTAGATTTCTAAAGGGAGACACAAAATCTGTTCTTTACAGGGCAACAAACTACACGTACATTAGAATAAGAACATCAGCGCCTCTTTTTAGACCTACAAGAAGACTCCTGTCTGATTTTCTATGTAGCCACACACACACTTACTATTGATTACTACTGGTATTCGAGGCAGGAAGGGTATAGTAGTTGGTTTAATCACAAGGTACTTGGTGAGCTGCCAATCACTATCTGTCCAAGAATGTTCCATCAATAGATCAATACTATAAGTCACTCCATAGACGTCGTTAGATACTGTGCTCTGAGAAAAAGACAAATTAGAACTATTAAGTGGTGTTGCATATAAGACATTGACTTTGTTGTAATAGGTTCACTGTGTTCCAATATGTTTCTCTACATATCACACACTTTCCCTGATATTTCCTTCTATATCATATACTACACTTATATAGTAGAGCTTATAGTTACCTGAAGTCTGCCTCTAGGGGCTCCAATTGGGATAGTTACTACAATATGTGTAATGTTATGTTCCAAAGTGTAGTTGAACTTCTCCGGGTTCTCTATCTTTTGCCCATTAATACCCATTGTTACTTGAAGGGATCTGAAGGTGGATTCTTGAAGTACCAGTCTAGGGTTAATCATTGGCATAGTCCAGATCAGAAAAGCATCTGTGAAGCTGGTGCCATCTGTTGATTGATAGCACTTGTCAGTTTCAAACCATTGCTAAACAAAAATCAAGACTTTGCATATTACTGCTAGCAGGCAATATTATAACGTGTATGAAGCATCTTGCCAGGCTCCTTGTACACAAGCTGCCAGGATCTCATTTTAAGATTTATGATTTCAACGTGCAAATTCTTGTTGGCACACTTGCAAGTATAATTGACAGAAAGCGTTGCTTGCTAGTAGGTCCTGTTTATACGAACATTCAATACCCTTCCTTCCCCGTATAAGGCATGAGTTTTCATGGTAGGAGGAGAAAAATACTTGCCAACTGGGCATGATACAGTTGTGTCAATCAGCAGAAGTAACCATCTTTGCCTGTACCGCGACGTGGAGCTGATTGTGCTCATTGTGACCCCATTAACCTGTGAAAAAAATCGTGGTAAAAGTTTTACTTGACCAGTTGAAGAATGAGATAGCTTAGAACATCTCTCTTTTGGCTGGAGGGAGTGGGGGAAGAAACACATTACCACTGTATTTTGAGTTTCGTTTGTAGAGTATGGGGAGCGAAGGAATACTCTTGCCAGGGTATTATTGAAGCTGTAGCCCAATTTGTCAGCATCTCTTACTCCTGTTGTTTTTGTCCCTGATGAAGAGTAGAACATCAAATTCCACGTCTGATGCCTAACCTTTTGTGCCTAGAAGAGGGGAAAAAAACCCAAAGACGATAAGAATTTTCAAACTGCAGAATGGCAAAAAGATTATTCGACAAGCGTGCAAAATTCTGCAGTTTCACTAAGGCTTAAAAATTGTCAATTTTGTGAGATAGCGTGTCAGCCCTGCAGCCATATTCCTTTTGGATCTTTGGCCTGCCACACTTTCTATTATTCTACTATGCCTTTTCTATTGTGGGAAAATGGGAGGGGGGATTGTACAGAGTTAAATGCTATGTAGCCAAAATAAAACTCCTTTCTAGAAAGCCAAGGTCATCCTTTGTCTTTGCACCTCTGTGCAAGACTGGAACTGGATGGGTGGAACTGCCAATATGGCAGTGGAAGAATGAACCATGTGATGGACTTGTGGGTGTGGGGGCGAGATCGTGAACTTTCAACTAGGTGGGGGAAACCGGGAA